AGATATCTTTTAATTTGTCATCTAGTTCATCTGCTTTAAAAACTCGCGATATAGAAAAAGTAATCTTTGGTGGTGATATTTTGATTTCCGAAGATGGAGACCAATGTACTGCAGGTTTCTGGGTGCGTCAAGATAATTTTACTTACTTAGTAACTGCAGGGCATTGCGCACTAAATAACACTCATACTCCTGATGGAAATGTTAGATTTTATCATGACACAAATCCTCCCTATTTTGTTGGAGAAATGACATATTATAAATATCAAGAAGTTGATTATGGCTTTATTTTGGTTGATAATCCTGAAATCTTAGTGATTCCAAATATAAAAAATGTTCGTAATGATACTTGTAGAGAATTATTTATTATTGGTACTGTAGATATAGATACCATAAATTCTCATATATGTATCGCTGGTGCATTCTCGTACGTATCTTGTGGCAAGGTAATAGCTATAAATACGGTCGTAGGAATTAGAGGTTTTGGAAATTTTGAAGGCGTTATCGTAACAGATATCGTGAGCGATATTGGTGATAGCGGTGGTCCTGCATTCCAGTTTAAAGATAGATTCCCTCGATTCGTTTATTTGGCTGGTATGCTTATAGCCGGTGATAATAATTATTCTACCATTGAACCACTAAACAAGATTTTAGATGATGATATGATTCCTGTTAGATACAACCCTATTTTATTTGATTTTGATACACCTCCGTAGGAGCTAGTTTAGATTATTGAAATTTTTTTTTTGGTCATTAAGACCGATATCAGATTAAAACCCTCCCTTTAAATAGTATTTCTTTTTCTTCAGGCTCTTAAACAAAATAAATATTGATGCTATTAACAACAATATTTCTTATTATTAAAACATTTTATTTTCATCTTTTATTTTACTGATTTTTTGGTACTTATATCATTTAATATATCATTTTTGGTTTTTATTTATTTAGGCTTTTGAATAAATGAATAGTAATTTAGCAACAATAATTATTAAGACATTTTATTTTCATCTTTACTACCAATTCACAATATATTTTTTATAATAATATTGCTTTACTGATTTTTTGTATTTCTGTAATTTAATAAAAAAATTATTCTTGTTTTCATATATTTAGACACTTGAATAAATAAATATTAATTCTACTAGTGATATTTCTTATTATCAAGTTCTATTTTCATTTTTATCACCAATTTCTGTAATACATTTATTATATATTACTTTTTGTTGTATTTTTGTAGTTTAATCAAACTATGTTTTTTATTTATTTTTTAGAAGTTTGAGTAAATAAAATATACATTCATAAATATATTTTTTATAATAATATATCTTTTTCATTTTTATTTAAAGTTTATATGATAATTTGTGAAGAATTTGGTTGTTACTGTTGACTTGAACCCATCTAATACCCATTGAGCTTTGTTTAGTTCCAATATCAGTTACTGATCCATCTTTATAAAAAGTAAATTCCTTATAAGATAAATTGTTTTGGAAAATTTCTTTGAGTTTGTTTGAACAGTCATTAGGTTTA